TCAAGATTGCGATTTCACATGGTTCGATTCCATGTTCTCTTACCTGGTTGCCGATTACCGATCGTTTATGTTCCTCCACACGTTGATGTAGGTGTCGGCTTGTAAAGCTGACATAATCTGTATCGCACAGATCACACTTAAAGAGATATACAACGTTTTGCTTGTTGACAATTGGAGGTTTAAGCTCCTTAGCTTTGAGCTCATCTTTGATCTTGCGGCTTGTAAAGACAGGATGTACTTCGGTATTTATCTTCATGTAAGAGAACATGGAATCGAACCATGTGAAATCGCGAAGAACCTTAGGGTCCTGAGGAAATGTTCAAACCAGTTCGATTGTTTGATTTTCGAAATGTTTTTTATTCGGGACCTTACGCCAAAACTGAACAAACAGAGCGATTCTATTCGCGCGAAGCTGTTTGCTTAACACTTTATTTTCATTCATTTTTATCTTTTTCACCGCTTATTTACACTTCGTTTTTGCACTTCGTTATTAGTTATCAGCTCTATTGTTTATATGTAAATACTTAGCTTTTACCACCGTGGAGCGGTCGAAACGTCGTTCATATTTTTTATCGCTCGTTTTTATCATTAAATTCATTCATTCCACGGAAATATCATTTATAGATTATTGCTTGATAAATTGGAGTTTTGGAAAAATGTAAAATTGTCAAGATGCTATCATTGGGTGTGGGGGAGGGGGTGGCCTTCGGGTCAGTGCACTGGACTCCGTTTGGGAGGCCTGGGTTCGAGACCTGGAAGGGTCACTATGTCGTGTTCTTGGGCCTCTCTTCAGCCAGGAGTATCACTGGGTATCAACCTCGTTTCCTGGGAACGAGGTTGACTGGGTATCGACGAATTGTCAGGGAAGCCTAATGAAATCTTGGAGGGTAACCTGTCCTTACGATGTAGCGCAATATCCCTGGTCGCTTCATCTTTAGGAAAACCCGGGATAAGCGCTGGCCAGATGGGCCACTTACCTCGTGTATAGACTTACGCTACCTACACTGATGAATACTCACACTTGTTGTAACTTTCTGAGGTGTTCCAAATCCTCTTTGGCCAAGTGTGTTATAAGGTTGTCTGTGAAATCTCTGTGGATAATGAAATACCTCTCAGTCAATAGCAAACCGCGTAGGAATGGTGTATAATGCCTTATTAAAAGAATCGTGTGATTGTTGTTCAGAGTGCTTTTTGATTGGGTGTGGAAGAAACATAATAATAACGAAGGCCAGTAAGAAGAAAATAAGACACCTCAAAGCCATTGGGAACCTCAGATAAGAACAAGCAAATTGCTTAAAGCGCGGGAAGGCGCGAACGACCACTTCGTCACGGTGAAGTGTTTTACTTTTGAAATAAGGCCTGAAAATAATTCAGGCCTATACGAGATTTGAACCCATGACCTCTGCGATACCGTTGTAGTGCTCTGTCAACTGAGCTAAGAAGCCAACTCTACCATCATCATGACCAGCTCCTAGTTGGCTTATTAGCTCAGTTAGCTCATGGTTCAAATCCCGTGCAGAACTGAATTTTTTTTTTCAGGGTTTATTTTCAACACTGCTCAAGTAGTGTTCATTACTGTAAAAGTCGTTTTGATATACCCTCAGTTAGCATATATGATTCTCATATATTCACAGTCATTTGTTTTACTCTTGCATCTGATTAGCTGAGAGAGTGGCATGAGTTTTCTAAACCAATCACAGAGCGAAGTGAGCCAAAACCAATGCACTCTCAGATTGCTTTCGACGCTTAATTCAAAATTGCTACAGAAAGTGAAAATGAACGTAAGAACATTTAAAATCTAGGCTTTCGAGAAAGGCGTGAATCATCCAAAAACAAGAACCGAACTGATAAAATCAATTTGTAACCAAAGTATTTCACCTACGCTATCAGTATCCCTTTGTTCATTCTCGGTATCCTTCTCAATCCGGCCCCCCTGCAATCAAGCCTTTTTCCAAACTGACGCACTCTGCATCCGGGGGAGGCACTTTTTTTTCCGTTAACAGAAATGACAAACACAGAAAACAGCAACACCAAAATACACATTCGCCAGCTGCCGCCCATTTCGGTTTCAGTTTTTTTTTTTCGTTGTCACATCTTTGAATTGTTGTTGTTGTTTTTTTTTGATCGATCTAACATGTGACGTAATGAAATGAAACGTCGACTTAATTGCCAGCGAATGTACGTCATGAATGAGATATAACGTCAAAAGTAATTGGAGCTTCTATTTTATTTAGTCAGTTTTTCTTTTATCATATCTTCATCTATTCTCCGTTACGCATTTCCGTTGGAAATGATCAGAATTTGAAACATATTACGCCGTGCGTTTTTCGGATTACCATCAATTTTTGTTCAGATGCGCGCAATTTAAAAGAAATAGTAGCAAGAATTGTAAAGTAATTTTTATCATGCCCAGGTCACAATTGAAATTATTTAATACCAAAGCTTTCGTGCTCTAAAACACAAAGACTACCATAATGTCTTATGAAAATATACCGTTGTTGAAAAAACGCTCACGTTTTCAACGTATACTCGATTAGCGCGCGCAACGACCGTTCAATTTGACGTCAAAATGAATTTTCAAAAACCGCCACCGTTTCTGCAATGGCCAAAACGTTCTTCGCATCAATCTTTGCCTTGATTTTTCTCCAGCATTCTTTTTGTGGAGAACAGTCCGGAGAAAGAGCTCCGAATTCGGTTTCTGATGATATCGCAGAGGGCTATCCAACAGGATGTCAAGTTTACAAACACAGGAGATTTCTTCAATGCCGTAACGCAGGAATAGATACAATTCCTGAAGTGAAAGAAAGCTGGCAAGTTGTAAATGTGTAAGTCAAAAGGCTATATTTGCACAAACTAACCGTACTGTCATTCGCCAATTATTGTGAATCGTTGAATATAAATAATTATTTTTAGAGATCTCTCCGGAAACAACATTTCAAGTGTTCAATTTGGTAATGGCTACAGAAGTGTTCAATCCATGTAAGTAGACGCAAATTTCTTCTCATTTGTTTCCTAGTCTTTTATTAGTTTTCCTTTCCTCCATTCATTCATAAGTTCCCTATTTTTCAACAGAAATTTGGAGCGAAACAATATCACAACTCTTTCTGAAGAATCAATCCAGGAACTAGAACACATTCATTACTTGTGAGTCCAAAAGTTGATTTGTTTCTTGACCGGCATTTGTGGAGTGTAACGACTTTTTTGTAGTAGTAAAAAGTGACTGTTTTATAAACATGTATTGGGGTGATGTCTGTGATTTTAGAAACTACTTTAGCAACAGTAATCCCCCCGTGAGCAAAATCGTTCCCAGGGCCTTTTCCCTTAGTTGGGGGTGGAGGCCAGCTTAGGGAAAAGGCCCTGGGAACGAGGTTGCTCTGTGAGGTTCTCAGGAAGGGCCAAAGGGATATGGCAGTTAAAACCACTGATATTTCAGACTGACCACACGTTATACAGATTTACAAAATGACTTCATCACGTGATGTGTCACTGTGGAAAAGATGACGTTAATGGACCTTACGAAAATTTAATTTCTCTGTTATTGCATTGCAACTCAAAACTACTCGCCTGAAAAGATTGCAGTGAAACGACATAATTATCACGTTTTCATCCCAACAAAAGTGACTTACTCCTAGTAAATCACTTCCACGAAACCTAGATTGTGGAATCGAAACGGTCCAAAATGGGACCTCCGGCATATCAAGGCCCGGTCATTTATTAGAGGGGGTGCAGGTTATACCTTTTTGTGAACGAGAAAATGGGGGGGGGGCTGCATAAAATTGTGCAACCATTTCTGAGGGGCTATGTATTTTTGTACATTCCAATTTCCTTCCCACCGAAAAAAAAACAAACACTGAAGGAATGAACATCAAGTCAAATACCATTTATCATCAAAATGATGGCATAACAAACCAACATAACATGGTGTATAGCAGTCCTTTTATATTGAAAAAAAAACTTCATATTAGAGCAGCCACATTGACTTCCTCAGCTGGAGTCTCACCGTCAGACAGTAGTTTTGAGGTTAAACCAAAATTTTCGTCTTCTCGTCCAGCTTTTCTCTTCTGTGCCTTTCTCTTATTTTCGCTAACTGGTTTAAATAGATCGATGAGTTTTATTTAAGTTGTATCAAAACTTTTTCTGTGGTTGAGGGCGGGTCATCTTATTTCATGTACAGACTCGAAGGGAGGCCATATTATGTGATGCAGTGGCAAGAACAGGCCCACGGGGAGTTATGTATTTGAAAATTAAAATGCACCAGCCCACCCCTCCCCTCTCTAATAAATGACCGGTCCTTTAGAGTACGCGCCAGTAGCTCACAAAATTTCATTTATCTTTCGTCATCCATATTCGCGTATCACTCGAATTGGAGTATAAACGACTAGCATCACTGCAAAATTAACCCTCGTTTTCTCTTAAAGGTCTGGCAGCGGCGACAAGAGACAGGCGGCTATATGTATAGAGGCGGATCCAGGAATTTTTGATTCTGGGGGTCCAAACTTAGGTTCAGAAAGGACTGTTGGACTCTTTTGAGGCAAATTACTTCTCGCCCACACCCCCCACACTCCCTCCCACCAGTCGCAGTTGCACGTCATAATTCCTTGGCCGCTTACCGTCTACTTGGATTCATTAAAAAAAAAATCAGCCAGTTAAAAAGTGATCTGCGATCCTGACGATGTAAGAATTTCAGTCTCAAAATTGTAAGCGTCAGGTCTGATAGGGGGGGGGGTCCAGACCCCCTGGACCCTCCCCTGGATCTGCCACTGATGTGATCCTGACATGATGATAATTTCG